GATATGTTTGGGCATTTTAGTTTAAATATATTTTAATATTTTAACTATTTTTTCAGTGGAAAATTAGTAGTAATTAGAAAAAAAGTAGTTTTATATATGAGGCAATATGATCATATTTTATTTCTTCAGTTCTTTGGTTATATTCAGAATTTTTATTCACTGCTGTTCTGTTATGCACAGTATCTAAGGAGCAGAAGTAACATCTGTTTTCCCCTCATTTAATTTTAAAACTGACTTTATTTTCAGTACTACTGCATAAAATTAGAAGCAAGAGTAGCATCTGTTTTTCCCACATTTACTCAGACACAGTCATAGAGTCATTTCTTATAGAGTCATTTCTAAAGAAATGACTTTATTTTCAGTACAACTGCAGAAAATAAGAGGTTAATTTTGAAATAGCTTTCTTTACAGAAGTATAGAAAGCTCTTCTTTATAGAATACTTTCATGCTATATAAGTAAATAAGCTGGTAGCTAAAGTATTTAGTTTTATCATACTTTTATAAACTCCTGCTGGAAACATCTTCTGAATTAATAGACATTTCAAAATTTTTATTCATTCCGAAATATGATTCCTATAACCATTTGTCAAAAATCTATTCTTTTTATTAAATTAGATAATAAAATTATTACCAAAATGTTAAAGATAAAAACTGGATAGCAAAGCAGTTTTTTCTGTAATTATGCAGAAACATTTTTGTAATATTGTCTGAAGAACCTAAGATTATTTTCAAAAGCAACTTCAGCTCAGTTATGCACACTAGGACAAAAATCTGCTTTTCATGAAGCACTCATTTATATCTATTCAGGCAGAAAATACAGAAAACTGAGCTTGTTTGTGGCATCATAATTGTACCTCAAAAGCAAATTAAGCTTATTGATGACTTCTAAAGGGTTAAGTAAAGGCCTGCACCAAGCCTGATCGACACCGTCGTGCAAATGCTTAGCGAGCGCCTTTATGCAGTGATAGTATTAAAGGGACATTGCTAATGGTTAACATTTAAAATGAAGCATTATTAACATTATAATATGAGAAACCAAAAAAAATTTATTTTATATTTTAATTTGTCTAAATATGAATACATTTTGTACTTTGTTAAAACCCACACTCAAACATATTTATTGAAGAATTATATATACACTTATGTAAAAAGCCGGCCATCCATTATAGTGGTTAGCATTGCTGACTGCGGTGCCGAAGGGCCCGGGTTCGATCTCAGAGAAGGCATGGATGTTTGTAAATGTATAGTGTCCGTGCGGCATGGGGAACTTTAAATATGCGAAGCGAAAGTCCTCTCGGAAGGTAGGTGCTAGGTGAAGAGGGGTGGGAGACACTCGGACACGTCCCCTAGGGATGCTCCCCATCAAAATTGGGGGCGAAACAAAGCTAAATCACACTGTCACCTAAAAGGTGCTCAAGGCTGTTGCCACCGACAGGCGTATCTTGCGCTCCTTGTCACGAGGAATTCCGTGGGCGTGGGCTGACTATAGGCCAGACAAGTGAGCATTAATCAACAACAACAACAACAACAGCATGTTATAAAAACTTAACACTGCAAGTGAAGTGAAATAATGTACTAAATGTACTGGATACCAAAGATATTGCTGAACACTATTTATTATCTTAAAATTAAAAACAAATTAATTTAGATATCTAATAAGTTCGTACTGTATAAATTGTTGTTCGCAGCATAGTTTACGACAAGGTTCAAACTGTGATTACAAAATTGCACAAAAATTGCTCTAGGTCTGATATCTAGGGATATATCCAAAATTATTTATTGCACACCGCTGTGTTGTTGACATCCATATGGCTTAGAGTTTCAACCGGCAATGCTATATTTCCTCCAAAAGTTTGCAAAAATTGCAGTTCATGCATACTTTTTATATCGCTTTTTTTTAATCAGTTTTTGACATAAGTTGAGCTGATGTCGTAAATATAGGTGAACGAAAATACGTGATGCCGATGTGTATGTAAGAGTACATACAAGGCACTGTAGACGCGATCAACAAATTGCTTAGTCCTTATTTTATGTCTACTGTTGCAATGATAGTAATTTATTCAAACATTTATCTTTATTTGTCATTTTTTTTGGTGACTGCTCATAGTTATTGTTATTCTACTAAAAAAACGGGAAGTGCCGTTACATATTGTGTTAAACTTAGGTTAGCTTTTTAATTCAGAAAAGTGACGATTTGAGCATAATTACTCGAAAAATGTTTTTTAACATGAACCATTTATTTATTAAACTAAAAATTATTATCTTTTGAGAAGAAAGGATTGGGATATTTGCAGAGTATCACTGAATTTAAAATATACCTATTTGAGATCTAAAGAAGTAAAAATAAACAAGGTATTCCGAAATCAAAAATTAACCATTTTCCGATTTTTAGCTATATGGCAAACTGAAGGAAAATGTTTCTTTATTTCATTACATCTTAAATACATACTTTAAATCTGATTTATTTATTTTAATAAGCAAAAGAGTACTACCACATCCTTGAATTATTTGGTATTGATCTAATAGTTCATATAATCTCCAAGAAATGGTTTAAGATATTGTAGGAGTTCCATGGTGAGGCAAGACACAAGTATAAAATATATAATCTTTATTTTACACATCAATAATAACATTCCAATGAGAAGGGAAATTCCCGCTCCATACACACCACTCTCTCCTTACCATCTGCCACTCATCCGAGGCGGGCATGCGCAGAACTCACAAAACTTCCTATTCGTACGGTGTTTCCATGGCAACACCACATATACTCAGTTTTTCAGAAGTAAGGTAAAATATTTCCAACAGTGACTTTCCGAGTGTCTTTAGGAAGTGTTTCACACAATCTTATAATAGTTATTTTCGACATTTATTTTTACTTCCGCTTTTTATATTTTCATTTTTGCCCAGATGCTGAGAAAATGGTCCCGGATAACCAGGTTTCAAGTTTCAGTTTCCCAAAAGACAAAAATGGATGTAATTTTTTTTAGATTTGTCGAATCTTGCCAAACAATACAAACAGGCAAAAAGTTAAATTCTGCTGAAAAAAATTTTGTTGCAAAATTTTTAATTTTAACAGTTTCAGGAACGTAAACCTGAGTAGTTCTGAATTTAATGACTCGAAATGAGCATTTAAAAAATCATGAAAAAAATAAAATGCATTTCTGGAATCTACATCTTCGGTCTTAGAATGATTATAAAAGAATAAACCTGTTGATTCAGAATTTCAAAATTTATTTTTAAAAAATATTAAGCATTGGCATGATGTTATTGAAAGAATTATCTATGTAATTCAGTTTTTAGTCAAACAAAATTTAGCCTTCCATGGTTCTAGTAGCAAGTTACAAAATTTGACCCTGTTATGTCTGTATATATTAATAAAATTCAAACTAAAAAATATGCTTCATTACCTTGAAGATAAAATTCAAAATGAAACAATTAGCTTATTAGGGGATAATATAAAGCAAATTATTTTAAGTAAGGCTAAACAGGCAAAGTATTTTTCTATTTTATGTGATTGTATTCCTGGTGCCAGCCATCAAGAGCAGATATTAATTTGTATGAGGTATCTTTGTTTAGAAAATACAGACATGAGTATTGAAGAAAGGTTTTTAGTATTCTGTGCTTCAACAGATACAATCGGTGAACAACATTCTTATTGAAGACTTTAGAGAAAAATGGTTTAGATATTAATAATTAACATAGCCAAGAATACGACAGTGGTTCAAACAATGAGAAGTAAACAGTTTTCGAGTAATTAATGCTCAGATTGTTGCTTTTCCCAATTAAAAAGTTAACCTAAGTTTAACATAATATGTAACTGCACTTTACCTTTTTTATGTAGAAAAATAATAACTACAAGCAATCAAAAAAAAAAGAAAAAGAAATGTTGCACAAATTACTGCGATTGCAACAGTAGACACAAAATAAGGATTAAGCAATTTGTCGAATGAGTCTACCCTTACATACACATCAGCATCACATATTTTCACGTTCAAATAAGACAGAAGAGAACACCAAAGACGAACTCCTGCCCTGGTTATAACTTTCGGTCAAATAAGACAGTGTGCTAGGAGGAAGGGGCACTCAGAACTGACAAGCTCGAGGCTGCCTTAACACAGTTACACGCCCCAACCCCTAGAGGTGATCCAAGAGGCTGCTAACCTATCGGTTGAGCTGACAAGCTAAGACTAAGCTAAGTTGACAGGAATACTTGACAACTCACATTCCACATCCCTGTTCTGGAGGGATGGTAAAAACATCTGCCATCAACAGAGGCCCCTATGCCGGACAGTAGAACAAAGTCACTTAAACACTGTCAGACAGACTGGGTCACCAATCTAGCTTGCTAACACTACGTCATGGTATTCGGATGTCGGCTTTAGGCTCCCCCAGGTGGATATCAAGGAAGGATATGAATATACAAGTTTTGAGACTTCATGCACCCACTGGAAACCTCAAGCACTTTAAAGTGCTTGAGGTTTCCAGTGCTCCACTTTAAAGTGCTTGCTGAATTCGACAACTGCACCGACGGGGATATTTCACCCCAGATAATCATGAATATCTGACTATATAGCTCAACCGCAACCAATGGAATGGATGAGAACACCATACAGTCCCTAACGAGCTTGATAGGTTTGATGGTCCATCGCTAGCGATGACTCCAGTCCTGTGGAGACTGATTTTAAACACCCGTGGCCGAAACTGCCTAGATACAGATCCTAATACCCGTGGCCGAAACTGCCTAGATACAGATACTAATCAGTAGCTTCTCAGGTGAATGACAAAATTGAATAACTTAGCTGAAAATTTAAATTTTGATATGAATTACAGTATTTTATATAGTTAATCAGAAACTTGTATTTAAAGAAAACGGAAAGAGAAAAAAATAAAATGATAAAATAGTAAATTTAATTAAATATATGTAAAATGACTATTTGTAATTTGTTATTATTTAAATTTTTACTAATATTTGTTTTAATAAAATATATGTTTCTTGACAGTGTTTCTAATATTGAAAAGGATGTCATTCAGAAAAATGTCAAGTTAATAATTGTGGATTCCATTGCTTCATTGTTAAGAAAAGAATATGGAGCAGCCAGTATTGAAAGCATTATGGAAAGAAATAATATATTACTAGAGCAGGCAGCTATTTTAAAAGATTTGGCTCAAACTTATAAGATTGTTGTAAGTTACATGGCAAATTTTAATTTAATACCAGTTTGTTTTTAAGAGCATTTACAAATGATAATTTTAATTATTTACAACTGATAATTTATATAGCAAATGAAGGCAATTTGTTATGTATTTACTTGAGTTATAGAACCTTATATTTTCAAATAATGAGATATATGAAATTATATAAAGCATATATGAAATTATTAAAATGATTCACTAGTTATTTCAAAATACACAAACAGAATTTACTATTTACTCTGTATATATATGTGTATGTATAAAAAATAGCCAAAATATGTACAATAATACATAACCATATATAATGATAATTTAATATGGGCTTAAAGCATCAACAAAAACTGTATCATTAAAGTAAGATTCACATTAAGACACAATAACACGCCGAATAAATACTAATTCAGAAGTTAAACAACAAAAATCAGCGTTATATTTACAAAATTTTCACAGGACTAGTTTCAATGGTTTTACCGAACCACCATCTTCAGCTGCAAAATTGCAAATGAACAAGATAGAAAATAATGATTAGATAAGATAAGAAAGCCTGGACAAGAATAAGCAAGTGGCGCCATCTGTTGGTGAAACCAGAACTAAAACATAATTTCTTTAAAGGCCGAAGGCAAATTTGGATTGGAATTAGGATAATTAACTAGAACAGAAGATTTTTATGAATGTGAATGCCTCTGAAAATCCAGTTCTCCAATGGAAGATGTTTTTTGATAATTTTGGCAGCAGAAAAACTGAAAGTTGGTTTCGGACCAACATGTTGAGCAACAGAAGACTTCTGTGTTTCCTTTTTTCTAACATATGCCTCATGTTACCTCATAAGACGCACTTTTTTTCCTAAATTTGGTCTCAAAAAAGTTACCTGCGTCTTATACGTGAAGAACACAGGTTAACTTTCAATAATGAATGCTATTTTTAGCCCGACTAAAGGTCTAGACACACATAACGTTTTCTGCATCTGCCATAATTATTTTGTGCATGTGTGAAATATCTGTCGCCAAGAAGCGCCAAAGCTCGAAGCTGATATCTAAGTTCGAACAGGTTCGACGGTTCGGAACGTCTGTGTTCACGTCTTTACATAGACTTTCTTTGACTCGGCCAACAAACGTGTTGGTATCGGCGCTACTCTGTATAAACATGTTGGTATCTGTGCTTAAAACTATTTGTTTAAAAAACATACCCTGGAAAATATGATTACAGGAAAGAAGAGATTAAGCTATACAATTCATTATAAACTAGGAGTGTTAAACTACACCAAAGTGCATAAAACAGAGCAGCAGCAAGGCATTTCGGTCCACCACCTACCGAAAACATGATACATACTTGGCATTTGAAGGAAGATCAACTGAAGACTGCTAAAAAACAAAAACATAACCTTCGATGCCCAGCTCCAGCTTGGCCTGAACTTGAAAATGCCATAAAAATGGGTGATAGATAAGAGGAAATCTGGGATAAATGTTCAACCAAAATGATAATCAATGAGGCCCAAGGACTTGCAGAAAAACTTGGGATCAGAACTTTTCAGGGTCTGAGGCTGGTGCTACAGGTTCATGAAAAGGCAAGGCTTATCAATGCACACAAAACAACTATTGCACAGAAAATGCCAGCAGATTATGAAGAAAAAATACTTGCATTTCATAGGTTTGTTATAAATGCACGCAAGAAAACTTCTTTTGAGCTCGGTCAAAAAGGAAACATGGATGAAATTCCACTCACATTTGATGTACCATTCAATAAGACTGTGAGTATTAAAGGGTCTAAATCAATAACCATAAAAACCACAGGTCATGAAAAAACCCGATATATGGTAGTTCTAACATGTTGTGCTGATGGCACAAAACTACCGCCGTTTTTCATATTCAAAAGAAAAACTCATCCGAAAGAAAAACTTCCAATGGGTGTAATTGTTCATGTTCATCCGAAAGGCTGGATGGACGAAGCTGGAATGAAACTTTGGTTACAGAACGTATGGGTGAGGCGACCTGGTGGACTCTTAAGAAACCCCTCTTTTGGTTTTGGATCAGTTTTAGCGCCATAGAACTGAAACCATAAAGAATAAAGTGAGAGAATTAAAAACCAGATAGCTGGTCATTCCTGGTAGACTGACTTGCCAATGCAGCCTTTAGATGTATCAGTGAATAAGCCATTTAAGGAAAAAGTGTGAGAACGATGGAACAAGTGGATAAAAGAGCCACATCACGCCCTCACACCCTCAGGTAGAATGAAGCGGCCCTCTATTTCACAAGTGTGCGAATGGGTAAAAAGATGTTGAGAGGACATAAAGGCTGAAGTAATTGTTAAGTTCTTTAAGCAGTGCGGTATCAGTAATGCGCTTGACGGAACAGAAGATGACGCATTGTTCGAAGAAGGTGATACTAGCGATGACAGAAACAGTAGTGATGACGATATTCTCGTTTTCGATGATGATGATAGTAAAAAGGATTTTTATGCTTTTGAAAGTGATTAAAGTCTAATTAATTAAAAATTAAAAAATTAAAAATTCTAGTTTTGAGATACATGTGCTTGAGTTTCGGGCTCTCTGTGTTCAAAATTTGATGGCTCTGGGTGCTACCATTTTTACATAATATGAAGAAAATACATTCATATTTTTCAATATTTAACAACAGACATAATGTGCTTCTCATACCATGGTAATAAACTTTGTAGGTCTTTTCTTGTTCTAGCATGTCAGTACATCTCCTCACAAAGTGGGATCATTATATTTGGTAGTTTGCGACATGCAAGTGAATTACTTTAAATGCTTCATAGCTCCACTTGCAACCCAGTAAATGTCTTTTGGATGAACTGGAACATCAGATGCAAGTTGGCTCAGGTGCTAAGTGGTCGCTAGTCGGGCTTTCACGCATATGCGCCATCTCAGTGTAACTAGATATTGTCGATTTTCGGACACATATTAGTTTCAAAAGTTTTATGTAGAATGCATAACACACCGTGACCAGTGGCGTAAATAAGGGTATGCAAGGAATGCCGTCGCATACGGGCCCGAAGGTTTAGGGGGCCCTTGAGTGTCCTACTGAATTACATTTACATGCTTAAAACATGGATTCTTTTATCTATCAACACATACATAATAGAATCCTTCTTCTAGTAAGTTTCTAATCCCCCCCCCAATATACGATGCAAATAGGGAGACCTTGGAAGCAGATGAAACAGCTAAATTCAGTGTTACAGACACCCAAATTTCCACTGAAGGAAAACAAAAAGGCTGTATGCTTTCATTTTGATTTCCCTCTAGAGGACACAAGTTATTAGTAATAACTGAGGCCAGCCTATTGCTCGTTAATTGTGAGAACAAGTTCTAAATTTCTTGAGGCGGGCATGTGCAAGATGCAGTCCAAGGTGTATGAGAGCTACGTAAACATTTCGAAATTCAAAATATTTACTTGCATTCCGGAGAAAGTTTAAGAAGATGGAGTTTACGTTTTTCGGGAGACCCTGATACTACTTTCAAAATTCTAAATCCTACGAGGTGGGCTGTACGATTATCATTTTTGATAGCAATTAAGGTAAGATACTTTGACATCCTAAAAACATTAAATTAAGTTATATTAACGTCAAAGAAAGCGCAAAGAAAAAGAAAAGACATTGCAAATGGGTTTAAAAAAATGGAGTCTTTTTAAATTTTTATTCTCAACAATTTTTATGGAAAACGTTTTATCTTTTACTAATGCAGTGTCTCAAGTATTACAAAGAAAATCAATCACATCAATGTTTCTATCAGTATGCAAAATATTAGAAACAAGTTTGAATATATTATGGAAGAAGCTGAGTTTGTTGCAAATAAATGGAACACAGAACGAATTTTAAAATGAAAAATAATAATAATAATAATAATAATGAATACAAAAAAATAGGTTTAAGGTAGGATAACGTTGAAAATTCCGAAATATCTTTTAAAGTAATGTTTTTTATGCTGTGTCGCATTATAAATACTCATTAACATATAAATGGGGAATGACAAAAATCGCAAATGGTCTGGGGGACCTAAAATTGCAAGAAAATGCGGAAAATTAATGGTATTGCAAAATACAGAAAAAATAAAGGAGGAGGACTAATGCATGAAGGAAATCTGGAGGATAAGACTTTCAGAGCAGAACCATTAAGGATTTTAGGAATTAGAGGGCAAATACAGATGGCAAGCAGGATTCAGAAGTGGCATTATTGCATTGTGTATCTTATTGTAACCACAGTCACGAGTGAGAGATTATTTTCAAAACTGTAACTAATGAAAACATATTTGAGAAACACTATGACACAAGATCGATTGTCAGACCTATCACTATAGAGTGTTGAAGCTGAGATGTCTGAGGAAATAGACATCCAGGTATTGATAAATAATTTTGCGGAAATGGAGGTTAGGAGCACCAAATTTTAATAAAGAAGGAGTTTTGTCTTTATGACAAATTTTGGCAACCAGTGTTATAATTATACTTACCATATTTGACAGCATATAAGATGCACCCTTATTTAGACGGCCACACACAAGGAAAAAAAGTTTCAATAGCGTGGTTCTTAGTCTCACGTTTCGTAAAGCCAAAAACAATTTGAATGTAATTACCTTACATATAAGACTGTGTCCTTCACGTATAAGACGCAGGTAACATTTTTGAGACCAAATTTAGGAAAAAAAGTGCATCTTATATGCCGTCAAATACGGTAATTATGAAAAACATTAGAGAAGACCAGTATGAGCCGAGAAAAATTAAAAGAAAACAGGGAAAAATTGACTATACGTATTTTTATGAAAATCATGTGTTCAACTAGTTGAGTGTACCAAAAAGTATTTTAAAAAGAGAGGGGAAGAAACTTTACCATACCATACTATAAAAAACTTTACACTTATCATATTTTCTACAAAGATTGTATGTTTAAATAATTTTCTTTATGAAATGTATAATAAATATGTTTTATATTTAACAAATGTATCACTTACATTGTAAAAGTTCTTATTTATTACTTGTATATCATTGCATAAGTCATGTTCACAGAGCACTATATATTAGTGTAAATTCTTATTTCTACGT